ATTTTACTGTTGTCTATACCCTTAAGATTATTTGTCTATTATATCTACTTGGTGGAAATGCCATAGAATGGTTTGCCATTATACATCTCTCTCCAGATCCACATTCAATGACATCACATTGGAAGCCTGATACCAGCCCTATTGGAAATATTTGCACAACTAAAATTGGTAGAAACTACAAATCAGGGCTTTTTCCCCAGAGACCCAGTGGTTAAGATTGACCACCACATTTACAGCCAGTTGATATGCCACATCTGAAACCACACAGCCACATTTCCCGTTAGCATAGAACAATGTCTGTCCTTTTTTTTTAATGGTTACATATGCCATTGTTGCATTAACATAATTATTTTTTTCAGTTACACTTGATATTCAATAGTATATCAGTTTCGGGTGTACAGCATAGTGGTTAGACATTTATTTAACTTCCAAGGTTCCCCCCAAAATGATGAAGTACGTAAATATTATGCTTGACTTCTCCCCAATAAGTCTAGTACCCACCTAATACCATATATAATTATTAAAATATTATCGAATATCTGTCCTTTAAGTTTAGCCATAGTTCAACTATGTGGCTTTCATCTCAGGGGGCGTGCTGTTTGAAAAATGTTGAGCCAGTTGGTTGAGCACCATGCAAGAGACACATGGGACAAAGTCACACAGAGGAACCCAGAGTCATGTCTCCCATCTACATCTTCATGGCATAGGTTCTTTGTATAGAGTGGATGAAGTAAATTGTTATTTCTCACTCTCTTTTATTTCCTGTCCAGGATAAGGAAACCAAAGGCTTAATGCATAAATAATGTACCCTTTCTTCCCAGGAAAGACTTGCCAAGTGTCATGGCACACAGTGTGGCTTCTGCAGCCCAGGGATGGCGATGTCCATCTACACGCTGCTGAGGAACCACCCAGAGCCAACCCCTGAGCAAATAATGGAAGCTCTTGGAGGTGAGCCTTCCTGGCCTTCTGCAGGCAAGACCTGAGATAGGAATTGGCCAAGTAAGTAGAGAAGGAGGTCTCAGCCATGGAGAGAAGTTGTGGCACAGCTTTGGGCTTCCTCTTTACTATCTCTCTTTACCCAAGTCCTTTCCAGGCAGTGCTGCCTTCATTTTGTCATTCAAGAGGCCAAGAATTGGGGCTATATTGGTTTTATCACAAAACTTTCTCCCTTAATAGAGCCCATTGTCCTTCTGCAAAGCCATTTAGATGGGCTGTTTATAACACTTTCAATAGAATCTTTTCTAAAAGTGGAAATCTGGGTAGTATGGAAGAACAAGATTTTGTTGTTTATTTTTAAATTAATCTGTTAGGATCATTCATGAATTCTACTTATATTAATTATACAAAGAGAATAGGCTTTCAGATACTTTATAGTTTTATGTTCTGGTTGGGTTCATTATAAGATCAAAGAGGTCATAGATAGCAATTACTTATCATAATAAGCTTCTTGGTGAATTCAATTTTCTATAACAAATAGCTGTCAAGTTTAAGTGAACAAACACAATTTTCTACAAAAAAAAGAGAGCAGTCATGTTATCAAATGTAGTCTTCTGTAACAAACATACCTAGTTCCAAAGTAACTGGTCACTAGTTCTTAGGAGAAAGCTGTAGGAGCAAATCTCTGAATATTATAAGAAAGCTCTTGGTCCCTTTCAATAAAAAGACCTAGACAGAAATTCAGTTTTATGATGAAAAGATGTAGACTAAAACAAATAAAAATTCAACATAAATTTTATGATAACTGATATGGAAATATCCTCTAGTTACTAGAGTCTAGTAGTTTTCCTTGTCTCTCAACAACTTCTTTACTCAAAATGTTTCAGTTTCTCACTAAGTACTAAAACTTTGGCCTATGGTTTCAATTATAATTTTAAGCAAACCTGAATAGATTTGAACAATAGATAATCTTTGTTCAATGAAATAATCCACACTAATGAAGTATTTAGAGTTTTGAAAAATCAGATATTTTGTGGTTTTTCTTGCTTTT